CTGGGAAGGACGGCTGAGGGGGAAGCAGAGCAGAGGAAATATAAACAGTTCCGTGCAGCTACGCTGGGGAACAGAAGCATGAGAGCGCCGAGCGTGCGGTGCTATAAATAGGCAGCCCAGAGCCAGGCCAACTTTTTCAAAGCTTCCCACGGTCTCCTTGGGAATGTGGGATGCTGCAGACCTTCCCCCAGCCCGGAGGAAGCCGCTGCTGAGGCTGGGAGTCAGGTACCCCCGGGGTGACCCTGGCGTGGGATACCGCGCTGATGGGGTGAGGGGGAGGAAGGCTAAAAGTCTCTCTATGTTCTGATGCGACTTTCCCCAGCCAGCGGTCCCCAACCGGCCCTGGGCTGACAGCCGGATCCTAGGCAGAGGTGACACGTCGGGGTGCGCGGCATCCTGGCTGGGGGCACGGCCGGGTCACCCCAGCATGGATTTCCACCTTGCCACGGCATCACCCTGCCACCACAGCCACGGACACCCTCTCCTTGCCGTGCTCTCCCACCGTGGCAGGAGCTGATGTGGCCCATGGGATGGTGGCCACAGTTTGGGAGCGGGGCTGGAGCCCCTCTCCCACCCCTGGCCTCAGGGGGACAGCACGGTCCTGCCCCGCAGCAGGCAGGGTGCTGCGAGCCCCGGGTGCTCCCAGGCACCAAGCTCTGCCCCTGACACTGCCCACGAGGTCGAGGGACAAACCCACGGTGGGGACAAACCCACGGGGACACCCTCTGAGCTGTCCCCAGTCGCCCTCAGCCCCGGTCCCACTCATTAAAACAAAGCTCATTAAAACGTGAGCAGGCGTGTGCGCTCACCCGGCATGCACGGCTGTTCCCTCGCCCCCGGTCCTGCCGAAACGCCGGTGGGGGAAGTTTCTCGTGAGAACGAAGCCGGCTCCTCTCCATCCCACACTGGCCGCGCTCGGTGGCAGCCCCGCAGCCCGGCCCCGTCAGCGCCCACCCCGGCCCCGTAATGGGAGCCAGGTGCTGGCCAGATGCACGCAGCCCCTCGCAAGCGCGCAGGGGCAGGATGCAGCCCATCGGCTCCGTGTGCCGCCGGCCTGGAGCGATGCTGTGTCCCGCGGACACGGCTCTGCCGCACCAAACCACCGCACCGGCTCACGTACGACCATGCTGGGCGCGCAGCACGGGGTGGTCCCCCCTGGGCAGCAGCTTTCTGCCTCCAGGAGCCACCTCCCTTCTTTCCAGCACCATCGCCAAGCAGTTTTGATTGCACGCCTCTGTCAGGCAGCATTTTTGAGGATGCACCCCCAGCAGATGTATATTGACTGATGTATAAATGAGATGCATGCGGTAAAGGTGTAATATTTTCTCTCTGCCCCCACCCCCATCCCCAGATTGCCATGCACACCCTCCTGAGGAGGACAGGCAAGACCCCGGCTCGCTGTGCCAGCGGGGTGCTGCGTGACCAGCTTGCCCCCACCAGCCCCATGGAGAAGATGCCCACGGACCCAGCCTGGGGACGCAGCACTTCCCAGGACCCACAGGCGAGGGTGGCAAGCAGAGATGCCACCTTAGTGCCCCATGCCATAGCCAAATCGCTGCCCTGCACCAGTCCTGGTGTCCCACCTGGGGCATTGGCCAGGGTATGGCCACCTCCCGTGTTCCGACCCCCTGCTCAGCGCCGTGCCCCCTGTCACCCCACACCGGTGCACCCCAAGGGCACATCCCGGGGGGACGCGGGAGGGACGTTTTGTGGGGTTTGCCGAGGCATCGCAGGGTGGGCGAGGGCGGGAGCAGTGAAGCACTGACCCCCAGCAGAGCCGAAACCACGAGGGAGAGGATGTGACGCGCTTCCAGGGAGAGGGTCAAGGCAAGGAGGGTGACCGCCAGCGTCCGTGGGAGGGGAGGATGGGCTGCGGCCGGGGCAGCACGGGCTGGGAGGGGATGAGGCAGAGGATGGGACTCACAGGACCTCTCCAGGAGGACGGTGGCACTCGGACCCAGCCCCAGCCAGGCAGGGGGAGCGCACTGGCAGGACCTGCTGCAGCAAAGGGGTGGCCCTGGCACCCCCCCTGCCAGTTGAGGGGTGCTGAGGAGGCACACCGAGCAGCAACGGGGTACAAGCCCAGCCCTAATGCTCGCAAAGGGGCTGCTGCAGTTGCAGCTCCCTGCTCTACCTGGATGCGGTACTGAGGGGCTGGAGGTCCAACAGGATGAGGCCACTGCTCTCCCGAGGGAAATCATGGCTGTGGGTATGTACCGGGCCCCCTGCGGGGTCAGCCAGACCCCGGCCACGCCGCTCTTGCTGCGTCACACGCTCCTGCCCGCT